CTCGAAAGAAATTTAAAACTGCTGTTTAGCAGATTCGGCACTATGACCTCTAAGCAATAACAATACTAAATGATTTCGGATGTTTAATAATCGCAACTCTCAGTTCAAGACTTCCTCTCACACGACTATTTAAATATTAAACAAAATAACAACTTCCGAGCATGTTATTAGCAACTTTGGTCCCATGGTTATGGGAGGCACCATGGGTATATAAGTGCTCGAAACATCGGGAATATAAAATAAGTTAATATACGCGATAAAATCCATAAAAAATAGTTTATTTAAATCTGTGGTGTTCGCGTAAATATAAGAAAACATTATATTCACAAAATAAAACGGAACTACAGAATGGGCGAGTTGATCCAAATGCACGCACTTTTTTGTAGAAGAGGGGGGAAAACGTGTATTCAACCTATCTGAGGCAAGTGACTACAGCCGCCTATAAATATTTGCAATACCAGAGGAATAGTGGGGAGTGGCCGGCCTTTTTAGAAATGAGTAAGCACTTTTATTGAAGGTCCCTAGGTTGTATCGTTCCGAAAAAATCGCTGGTGGTTGTCAACTCTACAAGGAAGTTGTGAAAAGAAGAAAACTTCTTCTAAATCACACAACTGTCGATCGCTAATCATCCCGATGATATGGTTGGTATCGCAAGTTTTATCGCGATGTGTGATGTGGAAATTGAGCGGCTGCAGTAAGTCCGAAGATTCTTCAGAGTATTACCAGCGGTAGATGTAATAAAATACGCAAAGAGACGCAACATCTATCCGCAGTACCAGTGAGTCAAGCCGATCAGAAAGAACTCAGTTGCCAACTTGTCGAACCGCACCGCGTTGGATGCGATCAAATGGAAGGAGCTGGCACTGGGAAGCCTCTGCCCAGAGATGGGAACAGTATTCCATGTGAGGCCGAACCTGCGTTGGAAAGTTGCAAATGGTGTACCCGAAATGAAATACCGCTCCATTCTGCTGAGCACAACAAGCTATTTGGAGGCCAGTTTAACTTGCCCATCCAAATGACCTTAAAACTGCACGTCAAAAAATAAGCAAACTACCCATACATAACGTGAGATTTATTTGTTAAGGTCAGCCGTAGGCTTGAAACCTTATAAAGGGTAGACGCAAATTTAAAAATCATATAATTAAAACATATTTTATAACATTTTTTTTTCAAAGATTTGATATATCCGAATGAACAATGATGTAGTTAGAAGCATCCTAACGTATTCTGAATAAAAGGATATATGCTGTCCATTTTCTCAATCTTGAAGTAATAAAAGTGATAGTGAATGAAGAACCAACACTGGGTGACATGGAGTAGTGGATAATCTTACGCCGCAACTATATGGCAAATAGACTCCAGTATAATCCAAGGGATGCTGAAGGAGGCGACGGGAAGGAACCGGACTAGAAGTTGGGCAACAACATCTTTCTAATATTAACTAAACAAATATACCTTCAGCTGTCATTTAGTCTATAACCAGTGACGTATTACGGTGTATTGAGTTATAGGATGTGGTATTGGGTGAGATCACATGGTCCCGAGTTCAAAAATCAAGTTGTCTGTGTTTAACCTCTTTGCTTAGGAACGCATATAAAGCTGTTGGATCGATCTCTTTCAAGTCGTGTTGAATTGCTCTTTCATTCATAAGAGACTACACCCGGACTGGTACTAATTTTCATGCATTATGATCCTGTCCAGTGCAGATAATTATTCTTCGTTGAGACTGACCACCGTGGCCGTAAATTGGCTTGAAGAAAATATTATTAGAATAGAATAGAATAGAATAAGTCATTTATTGTGCTAGTTGTAGGTTTAAGAGATTTAACACTATAAAAATAATTAAGTATCACCACAACCTGCCTAGATAAGGCTTACAATATTATTAAAATTATGGAACTTAAAACATCATCTCATTATTCATTAAATCAAATCAAATAACACGGATAATAAAGCATAATGTCATACAATGAATTATTTTAACAAAAGTGGATTATAAATAATAATATCAAAAGTACAATGGTATTATACCAGTATAATCTAAGTCTATGAATGGAATATTGATATATCAAAATACATGTAAGCTTATAACTAAAACGTAGTGATTTGAATACTCTTTGCTTAAAACATAATTCAGAAAATATTTCAAATGTCAATTAATTTAAAATGTAAGTTTGTAGCTCAAATAATCTTTTAAGGAATAAAAACATCTTTCAGTCAATAATTCTAATAATTTATTCTTAAACTTTTTTTATTTCTAATTCTTTTAATTTGTCAGGTAAATGTTTATATATTTTTGGTCCTAATGCATAAAAACTTTTTGAAAAAAGGCTGTCCTAGATGTGTGAAACGGTATAACAGTAACACTACTCTTTGTTTGCCTCGGGTGCTTAGCAATGTGCGAGTTAAAATAATGTAAATTACTTTTGACGAATAAGCAGGCGTGGTATATGCTACAACGAGGGCAGATTTAGAATTTTTAATTTTACAAACAGAGGGTCTGCAACTGTCTGTTTGTTTGGCACCAAACATTGCTCTGAGACACTTTTTTTGCATACTAAACAATGGCAACAGGTTAACATCAGCCGCGCCTCCCCAATGTATGATACCATATCTTAAGTTGGTGGCAACGTATCCATGATAAGCAGTAAGTGCAGCTTTTTGTGAGACAGTTTGTGTTAATTTTCTTAGAGGATAAACAAATTTACTAATTTTACTTGCAAGAAATTCGGTATGCGGTTTCCAGCTTACACATTCATCAACCAATACACCAAGGAAACGTATTTGTTTTACTCGCTCAATCAAATGCCCTTCATACTTAACAAAAACAGTCTCTTGTTTCCGGTTTTGGGGAAGATGAAACTGCATATATTTTGTCTTATCTAGGTTTATGACGAGATCATTAGCTTTCATCCAATTAATAATATCAGACAAAGCTTCAGCAATAACACATTCGTATGGTTTATTGCTGTTGTTTTTTTATCATAACAGTAGAATCATCTGCAAAAAGGATCATTTCATGCTGCACATGTCTAGGTAGGTCATTGATGTACAATAGAAAAAGAAGAGGCCCAAGTATACTTCCTTGGGGTACACCACACTTTACAAGCTGTGACTGAGATCGTACTTGCACTTCAGATCGATTTTCCTCATTAACATAAGAGATTTCTGTGCATTGAAATCGGTTATTTAAATATGACGATACAAGACCAAATATAGGTCCTCTGATACCATACATATATAACTTTTGCAGAAGCTTTTCATGATTTACGTAATCAAAAGCTTTTGACATATCCATAAAAATAGCAGTTACTGGAACGCGATCGTCAAGGCATTCCGATACAACTTTTATCATGTGATATATGGCTAGATTCGTAGATCTATCCTTTCTAAATCCGTATTGCTCGTCTGCTAGTATATTAAATCGTTCGCAATAATTATATATGTTTGTATATATGATTTTCTCAAAAATTTTGGAAATGACAGAAACCAGAGCAATTGGGCGATAGTTCCTACAATCCTCTTTATCCCCTTTCTTGAAAATAGGTTTAATTACTGTTATTTTTAGCTTATCAGGGTAAATCCCTTTATTTATAGTTAAGTTGATAATGTGACTAAGCGGCCGAGCAAACTGGAAATTACAAAATTTCAATACTCTAGTGGTTATTTCATCGTGACCAACACTTGTTTTATTTTTTAAGCTATTAATTATTTTAACTATATGATCGGGCGTTGTTGGATTCATAAACAATGAATTTGATATACGTTCAATGTTACCTCTGTAATTTATTGGTTTGCAGTTCTGTACAGGATTCATAAATGTATCATTAAAAGCTTCTGCAATATCACCTGGTTTAGTAATTGTTTTCCCTTTATAAGTTACACTCTTCATAATTTCTTTTGGCTTTGTGAAATTATTTGAATTTATTATCTTCCACGTAGATCTTGTTATATTTTTAGACTTGTTGATGTAATTGTTGTTTTGAATGCGTTGTGATTTATTAATAACTTTTTTTAAAAGTGCTGTATAAGCATTATATTTAAGTTTATCATTTTTAGATTTTAATTGAAAGTACATTTTCCTTTTGCGTTTACACGATGTTTTGATACCACTTGTAATCCAAAATGGCTTCCGCTTGAGCTGAAACTTTAATTAGGTTGAATGGGAAGCATAAGTCATAAAAGAGTTTAATCAATTCATAAAACAAATTGTACGCTTCGTTTACATCATTGCTTTGATAAATATCATAAAAGGATAAGCTTTCCAGGCATTCTCTAAATTTGGTTAGATTTTCAATACTATAGTCACGTCTTTTGATAAACCAGTATCACAAGCAGGAGTAATTTATTGTGATAGGATATTGCAACACTTGAGCAGTGTGGTCGGATAATCCTAAATGTAAAATTTTGCTTTTACACCCACGGCAATTATGAATGATATTATCGATACACGTTCCACTTTGTAATCTAGTCGCATCCATGAATTCAATTTTAAAGTTATAACTCGACAAAAAGATTAATAAATACATTAGTTGTCATGCAATTTTTTAAAACATCAATATTAAAATCACCACATATTATAGTTTTCTTAGTTCTATATTTGCTAACCCTATCCAACAAAGTTTCAAGTTTTTCGAAAAAGTTAGAAATATTACTATAATTAGGAGTTCTGTATAAACAAATAATTATAACATTAAAAGACACAAGTTTAATAGCACAACATTCAAATACGGTACTGAGAGAGTTTCTTGTAATTTCAGGTAATTCTCGGTAATTAGGTCCTCTTCGAGTCATAATACATGCACCTCCTCTTGAATTTTTTCTGCAGTATATGGCAGCTAGATTGTAGTAATTACATACTAAATTGGTTTCATGTCCATTCTTGACAAAGTGTTCAGTTAGACAAATAACGTCAATACAGTTTCCTTCACTTGAAAAATCCTCCAATATGATCTCAATATTATCCATTTTACCTAGCGCACCACATATATTTTGATGCATTACATACAGAAATTTACTTTTCTTGTTTTCGAAAAAAAGTCATCATTAGATAATTTTACATCCGAAACGTTTTCACTAACACTTTGCTGAACTAATTTATCAGTTTGCGTCCCTTTGTTGGATTTATGGTAGTCTATAGACATATACGAACTCTCTATTTCTGATAGTAAACTCTTAAGATCTGCAAACAAAGCTCTCATGCCTTTATTATTCACGGCACCAAGTTTACCAGAGAACATGTGATAATCATAGGTGAGATTCAAATTTGAATCTAGTAAATATGCATACTCATGGGCTTTAATATTTTTTGTACAGCAAATAGTTAAAGTTTTTCGATTCTTCTATTAAAAATATTTGTATCTTTAGCACATCTAAAAGTTGGTATGCAAATTACTATATTAGTGTGAGTGATGCATTGTATGGTTTGCCTTAAGCTCTCCACTAGTCTGTTATAATCTTGTGACATCCTGAAGTCATAATCTCCAATTAGAACAACACAATAATCTTGTAAAGTGTAATTAATCAGTTTTTTGTCAAGGCCTTGAATTAAATCTAATATACCAGCATTTGTTTTTATATAATGACAGAATTCAAAATCTTTAGAGAAATAGTCTTGTGCAATGCCTTTTATATTATTTTTGTTGTTGCTGCTGATTATGCATAGCTTTCTAGTGTGCTTCAAGGGTATCGGTTCATCAGTTCTGCATTGCTTACTTTTTTCCCCATTAATTTTTTTATATTCATTTACGCATACCTTGTGTTGTTCTTTTTGATTTATTGTTGAATTATGGTTTTTACTTTCAATATTATTAGGGGTTTCCTTATTTTCAGCACTGTTAAATAGGTTTGATTCTACTTCGTTAATGCTTTGTGATCTATTTGTATTTGATACGTTCTTGATCTTAGATGATAATATACACGCACATCTCTCAGGTTTCGACTTAAATTCGGCTATTTCTTTTTTTAATATATAGTTTTCTGATATCAGGTCTTCAATCTCCTTGTCTGCATTATCAAGTTTTTCTTTGTAGTTCACATAATTTTTCATTTAATTTGCTTATACAATCCTTGGTATTTTTATCAGTCAGATTACTTCCACCTATGTCCACGTGTGTTGGAGTTGATGTTAAGGAAGAGTATTCAAAGTTCTCATCAACAGATAAGGAGCCAAATGAATTAGAGGCTACTTTATTTGTAATTATTTTTCTTACGTGTAGTAACATTTCTGGTAGCCGTTTCTAAGCTCTCAGTTAGAGGTGAGGACTGATTTAGCACGCAGTCATTATCTTGTAATTTTTTTACACATGACTTACACTGGAATCGTCTTCTTTTAATTGGACTTTTTAAATAATATAATTTCGGTGAAATATTTGTACACTTCAAATGATAGTATTCATCGCAGTCGGAACAAATCAAAAACTCTCTATCAATGATTGTGTCATTACATTCCTTACATATTTGATCAGCCATTTTTTTAGTTCTTTACCAATAATCAGAATAAAAAAATAAAAAAAATAATAATACAAATTTTCTAAGCACTAAAATAAAGTTCACTGACAGTTCGAGAAAAAGGAAAAAAATAAAAAAATAAAGTTTTATCGAAACTTAATAAGAAAATCAATCGTTTGTAACTGTCTAGATGCAACAATTCCACTCACAAAATAGGAAAATATTAGTTTAGTTATATAAAGCCTAAAATAAATTATAGATAAAATTAATTATAAAATTTTTTTTCACTGGGTTCGGAACTTGAGTCATGCGTTATAGCATACGTTGCGACATATGAGCCAAGTTGAGTTAATAGTAACTAACGAAACAAATGGTCCGTATATGATTAACTTATTCGAAATATTTGGCGGTAGTTATTAAAAAAGTTATTAATTTACATTAATCACTATTTCACTTAGTTTATTGATTTAAGTAGAAAACGTTTTTTATACACTTATTACAATAGTCGATTTCACGATAGTACACTTTTAAGTAATTTTAACTTGAATTTTATTCACTCAATTCTTGTGAATTCACTCAATACCAACAATACCGTATAATGTTTTTTTCAATATTACGTCCATATACAAAGTTGAAACAGTTCACCATCAATGTCACATGAAATTTAAACAATTTATTACATTTTGGTTGAGTTTTTAACCCGTCTAGGCCACTAGAAATATTTAATTATGTTAAAAATTACGGAGTAGCTATTAACGTGACGGCAGACAAGATAACCATTTTACATAATAAACTATATAAAAATTGATAAGTTCACTTTAGTCGTATTCAAAAGGTGTTTAAAAATTAATTCGTTTAAAAGATAAAGTTAAGCTTCGTATTGTACAAAGATGTTTGTCGCGTATAAAAGGTGATGTATTACACAACATATAAAATGAGGATTGCTTAAATGTAAAACGTTCCACACCATTCCGAGAGTCATTTTAACCTCTATAAAAATGTTAGTTCCCTTTTCATTACATTTTCGAACATGGTGTTCTTGTTCAAGAGTATGAATATGAACTTTTAGGCCGCTTACTTTAAGATTCAATTTCAACGGTTTTTCGGGTTTATTTTACTAAATGTCCGACCTACCCATTTCAAAGAGCCCGTTTTCAACTTTCTAAAGTACTTTGTTTTCATAATCATGTACTATGACACCTTAATATAAATGTTTCTGTTGAATCAAAAACATATTAGATGGTACATATCTAATAACCTTAGTCATTTATCGATCGTTACATGTTGAATGTACTTTTCTCAAAATTAAATAACTTATTAAATTAAAATATATAAAAGACTTGTGCATATTCCATGAAAGATAACTAGCTTAATCTGTGTACATAATTCCGCGTTCATATTTTAAAGAACACCATTATTCGTTTACCACTACATGCGATTTTCTCTTATTTCCCCTAACAGTAATAATACAACTCACCGCCAATGTAATTTCATCGTCTTTATCCTCTTGCGTGCTTACAAAATGTAGTCAAGCTAACAGCCGTGCAGGTGATTCAAACGGACCTAACAAAGTTGGCTTGTGTAGACTGATACTAAGGTCCTCTTATCCCGCAGGATAATAAGTTGCACTTGTACAGTTAATATGTGGAAATTTTTACATTACTTGGGTTTCCGTGATAGTACAGTTATTAAAAAAAAAGTTTAAAAATTCGCTCATAGCTTTCAAAGTTAGGTCTTTATTTCTTCGAAACACTGTACCTTAGTGAGTATTTTGCATCCGGCCAGTACAAGATGGTTATAAAGCCACATTTCGGAACCATAAGATCTATCTGTAATTTCGTACAGTCGCCTCTTATGATGCATACAGAACAAATATGATGATAGACTGTCAGCCACCCCTACAATTTACATTCACATAGCAATAATTATTACCGATTTCTTTTATTAGCAAGTTTTTGTGAAGAAAACCTCCTTTTTATATTTAAATGCGTTTGACTGTGGTCATGCTGTCTGTGGCTTAGAGTAATAAGTGCTTAATACTTAGTCTCCTCATAAGCTCTCAAAACCTTATTATTTAAAAATTTGAATCGTGGCTAGATGAACTTCACCAAATTTAAAAAAACGTTTGCGCTTGCCGAAAAAAAACACTTTAATCTTTATTCATTTTCAAATATGGAGTGGTCGAAGAAAGACGATAGAGTAGCGGTTATCGCGTTGCACCGCTATGGTTGCGCACCGAAGGAGATTTTCAATATTCTACAAAAATTGAAAATAAACCTACGATTTGCTTATCGCATTATCAAACGATTCATTGAAGATTCAAGCTTTGAAGATCGTAAGTGGAACGGCCGACCTCGTACTGTTAGGATACCCGCGGTCATCAAAGCTATTCTTTACGTGGTAGAGCCATGCTGCAATTATATTAGTAGTATAGTTGTAGCACGAATGGGGTCGGCTCGACCGGGGAAGGACCACGCTCTCACAGATTACCAGCGTGAAATAGTAGCTTAATGCTGCTGTATTTCGTATGGTGAGTGTAGAGAACCGGAGACCCTTTTTACTGGAAATGAGGCGTTCCATCTCAGTCCTCACGGGTGACAACGCATCTGCATTTTGATTTGTAATGGAAGATAGATGTAGATGTCTATGGGCCGCAGCAACCACTTACCATCAGGTGAACTGTGTGCTCGTTTGTCACCCTCTCCCTATAAAAAAAAATGAAGGCGCGTATTCAACGAAATCCTTTTCGTAAACAAAAAATCTTAGCTTTTCAGATGGGCTTAACCATAAAGACGGTCAAAAGAGTGATCAATGAAGATCTAGGAGTAGGTGAGAATTGGTGCTTCTGCGTCATTTGCTCTCGCTTCGCTCGAGCTACATGCCACTGAAGGCCCCAATTTTCTCGATTAGAGGTCTAAATTTTTAAATCTAATTCTCGAACCGCTTTTTTTATCTTTGCTCCATTTCTAATACCGTTTCATTCGGAATCTCAAATACAAATGGTTCAATAATATAACAACAGAATATGAAGGCTAATCTATTTCATCGTTAAAAATGCAAAGTAGTACAAAAAAAACAGTTATTTTAATAATAAGTACTAATCGTTAGCGGTCTAAAACTATATTTTTTTCTTCTTCTAAAACACAAAGGTAGTTTAAATTAAAAGATGCAGTGTTTATTTATATATATTTTATTGGAAATCAAACAATCATTTTGTTTTCAAAACACCATTTCTAAATACATAAAACATTTTTAACGCACATATTTTCTTATGAGTAAAACAGTTATACAGTAAAGTATCTTTACAATAAAGTTCACAAAGAAGTATTTAAATTGGGAGCTCCTAAGCAACTTATATCTATGATAGTACTATTTTCTTCACAAATATTTTACACCCATTTAATTTATTCACATCCTATTAAAAATCTTTTTTACCTTTCAAATATGTCTTTATAATTCTGTGAAACTCTCTATAATCAACAAAGCCCTCACTCCATCGGTACCCACTGTGCTGTTCAATCCAGCCAATTTGTTTTTTTCTCTTCAAGAGATAGTGAAGTAAATGGGTAAGGAGGTTTAATTAGGAATATATTGGTGTACTCTAAAGTGGCTATAGCAAAATCCTTTACTATAACAAGCAATAAGCGGTTGTCTGATCTGCTATTTCTTGATCTGTTTCGATTTCAACTCTCACATCGATCGAACCTTTTAAAGTTTCGTGTTATCTTGAACAATCAATTACAAATAATGGAGCCACGTCTCTGAACTCCTTTAAACCCATCAACGGCTCAGACCGGCGTCCATGATGCGACTGTTGAAATCCCGCATACTGATCGTATAATAAAGTAAACTTATCTTATGAAAAACTGGCATTTAGCCCCTCATAAGGATAATATGATGAATTTAAAAAGACTCTTACAACTCGTACTTGAAAATGATTAAAATCTGCCATTGATAATTTCGCGTTATGTTTGCGGTTAGTTTGTAAGGCAATGACCACAAATCGTGGTTTTTCTATTTGCGATGAAGTTTTTATAGACCAAGTATGTTTACGTGTTTTGGGTAGCAATGGATACTCATATAAGTCCCAGGAACGGAATGCCAATGGAATAACTCTCTTTCTCTAAATGTTTTAATAGGCTGATTCTTTCACGATCTGATATTTTGATGTGTGGAATTCGCCAAACAATTATATTTATTATAATATCTTCTACAACTTCAATTGTATTTAACTTGATCGCTTTAAGATTTGTATTGCTTCGTAATAATACTAACTCATGTTTACAATTAATTACAATTTTTTCATAATCTTCTGCAAGTCCTAATATCTTGTTTAATGGTATAGACGCGGAAAACGCTCCACCACTAGCATTGCTTGTTCCGCCAATTGACCAGCCCCAAACTCGAGCATATTTGGATTCATTTTCATTTAAAGATAGGTAAGATTTTATTGTAGTAGTGACACCATCATTCTTAATTTTATGTATTTCTTCTCCATTAAGTTCATATCGTATGTCTTGAAAAAGAAATAGCACGGGATTATTGACAAAATGTACGTTTCATACCTTTTCTTTTGTGGTATAGTATATAAACGTTCATCTTTCCCTCGATATATAAACTACTGAGTGAAGGTATTACGTACAGGTCTTGCTGATTAATAGAAATACGTATTTCGTCATTCTCGTTAAAACTAGTTACATATGGTTTGTATGAATGATACTAAAAACTTTAAATGCTGTTATCGTATGATGTTTGTTGAGATACGTTCAAAATATTCATTTTATCAAGCCAACTAGCTTAAGAAATTCTTTGTTAGACTTGGTAAGCTTCTTTTTTAGCTGAAGAGGTGTGGCTTTATGAGATGTTCTTTTAAAACTGTCTTGGATACACGAAGTAGACGGGTTTTTATTGAAATTTATCATATATTTTTTTGAAATGTAAATACAGTTGTAATTCTTCACCTCGTAAATTTATCTCTTTATTCTCAGCTTTCAATAATTTTATATTGAAAGCACTTATGGAACTTTGGTTAATAGTAAAATAAATAAAATTTCTAGGTATTTCAATTACTCGATAACCAGGTGGTACATTAGGTGCAAATTCATAAATTATATGGCTTGAATTCCCGTTGACAAATGAACTACTAACTATATCGCTTTTAATGCGCACGATGGTTGTTGCTAGAATATTGACAGGATACTTTGATTTAGTACTTATATTCGCTTTTATTGTTTACATACCAAAGCCTAAAATTTTAATCAGTAATTCGTTTCTATTAAAGTGCACATCTTTAGAGCACAAAATATTTGTTGTTAATGTATTATTGTTACAAGTCTTTTTTTAGATAATCACAAATATCTTGAAGCTCGTAAGACCCTTCAGGAATTTCGATCATTTCTTTTTCACCATAATAAAATTTATGGTTTCTTTCATCTATATTTGGACTAGAATTAAAAGTTGAAAAATACAAAAGGCCACATTCGTAGTCTCCTTGTAGTTCTATTGTCGGTGAATAGTTGGTTGATAAAGAGGCTCCTGTCCCAGTTATAGACACAGTGAAAGTCATTTTTATACTGATACGTTTAATTATTTCTTACACTATATTAATGATTTTCCAGTAATTCCTTAAAAATTTTAGACCAAGGTGTACGCAGTTTGTAGCACAAAACGCTTGGTGTCGTGCATAATTACAGTTAATAGGTAAGTTATGCATATATTTAACTAATTCTAACGGAGGCTTTAAATTATCAAAACTATCATAATATTCTACGTACTTATTGTGCTTTACAAAGGCTACCCAATGCGTTCCAGGATTTCTGTAGCTATCCAAATTCAGTATTCCACATTCTATCTTTCTCGGTTTCAAAGGTAACTTATTTCTCATGAAAACGCCGCGAAAGTATGGAATGTGACTTGCATGTTCTAATATGTCGCGGTTAGTGAGCGCCCGTCTGGGTAGCCGTCTAATTAGTTTTTTTGAGGGGTTAAGATATAAACAAGGAACAGGTTCCTTGTTTATGAGGTTTAATGTATAATCCTTTTCCTAGAGCAACGGCTTCCATCATTCTGTTGTGTCTTTCAGATTCCTGAAGACTCTTTTGTGCTGCTTTTGAATCATTAACAGCTTTTGCTATACAC